ATTCGGTCGTCTGACAAAGCTAGTGAAGCTAGCACATTGGCATGTGCCGTTGCTCCAGCTGCATTCGTGTATAACATGGACGTGTGGTGGAGTGGTTCCTCGTGTGTGGAGTGCAACGGCAGCGATTCCGAACTGGGTGTGTCCCTGTTCGAACCCTCTGACAATGTCATTACAAATTGTCTCAGCTTCTCCGTCATCTCGAGCGGGAAACACATCATGCACAAGCTTTCTTCGTTTTGGAACTGAGTGTAACTGCAGTTCCCTGCGTGCATGGTCCGCAAGATCGGGTAAATGGCGTGTAATGTGAATATTCCTGATGCAGGTGCAGCATGACGGTTGTTTCTTTGTGAGCTCTGAGGGAACTGACGACTAGCTTTGGCGACAGAGAATTTTGGGAACTAAAAGATAGCGTGAAGCAAAAGGCTTAATTTTATGAGTATGAAGCCTGGTAGGTTACAGAAGCTTACTCACGCTAGCACACAAGTGTGCCACGGGGGGCATCACTTGGGAGTTTTTCTTGAAAGCAGTTTAATAGGAAGAATATTCTCGAATCGGGATTGGGAGTTTCGGCGAAAGCTTGGAGAAACGTTCCGATTGCTGCTTTGTGTTTGGTAATACTACTCGAGGAAGGTTATTTTGGAGGATTTTTTGACCTCGATTTGTCTCAGTACGGGCAGGGTGCTCCCTCGTGCCGGCGGTGGTGTGTAAGAATGTTTTTCCCAGAAGAGAGCTACGAGGAACAAACGGGAAAGAATCCTTGGCTGGGCGTAATTGGTAGTGGCCTGGAAGACGCCACCACACAACGGCACATCGGGCAACCTGTGCAGCTGGTCACCCTCAGGTCAAATCTCCCGCTGGCGGACGAGCTGTTGCTACTGGCGCTTGAGCTGGCGAGGGAGCGGCGCTTTTTCGATCTTCAAACAACTAGCGGAACGACGGGCCAGGTATTGTCACTCTTAGTCGGAGGGTGAGCTATCGTGTCGCCACGACGCTGTGCGCCGTTCGAGAGTCGGCAAGTGCAGCCTCTTTCTTGGAAGAGATCGTGCCGAAGGCCCCGCCTTATGAACTTGTCCGTAGTGACACTTCACTCTGCCTCGTTTACCCTCTACTGAAATTATCCAGTCGAATCATTCAATTCTTGGCTGACCCACAAAGTTACAACACCAAAAACTGCTAACAGAGAAGGCTAGCTAGGTCTGGAATTAGGAGAAATAAACTTCAAGCACTCCCCAAACCAGGGTACCTGACGCTGGCTGATCCCACCGAGCTGCCATCCACTGTTAAGAAAGAGGTGCCGGGACATCCCACCACGTCCATGAATGTGGCGACCTTGGGTAGCGGGGTCCTGACTGGAGCCATCCGAGACTCAGAAGACGAGTAGCGGCACTGGAGTTAGTAAAAAGTAGCGTTTGTGTACAGTATTTACATGTTTAGGGTAACCTGAACAATATGAAACCAATCAAGCACACCTCAGCGTCTCTGTGCTCGCATTTTATATTCGCCTTCTTCCCAAGATTTCTTGCAAGGAAAAAAACTGAGTCCAGAACCCTCCAGTAGGATCATCTTCCTCCCCTCCACCCTCGAACAGGCAAATTTGCCTTTTTCTAAGAAAGGCCAAATGCACGCAGACCTCGTTGCACAGGGAGGGTCAATATGGCACAACTGGCATGGTGCGATGACTTGGAACCCCACGGGTAGAGTCGACTCATCCGGCGCTGTTAGCTCCTGACAGGCCGCGAAGAATGCACCACGGCACGGTCGTAGACCAAGGAATATGAAAAACGTTCTCAAGGACCAAGCCCAGATGCTCGGCCCCTTGTCCCGAATTAGCCGAGGACCCGAGCAACGCAGAGGAGGCCCCAACTCAGACTGTAATTGCCCCTTCGGGGCATTCCATCGGTCAGGCGTGTCTAAAGGGGTCTTGACGAGTGAACCGACGGCCCAGCGGAATTCACTGCACCTCTACTGTGTTGAAGCCGTTTGGGAATGTCGCTTTACACAGAACGAAGATTGCCGGTAGTTACCGGCAAGGCCGCTGCACAACAGTGCCGAGCACGTGTGACTTTTTCTTCTTTCTTTCTTGAGTTTTCCTATGTATAGATACGTATACATAGGAAACATATGGTGCGTGACGGCGGCGGCGGCGGCAAAAACCAGCCAAGACTGTTCGCCTGACTGATATCGCAAAAAAAACACACAGTAACTTGAATTATATATCTAGTTAAAACTCGGAAATAGGGAAGGAGGCTTGCTACAATCTTCTCCCAAACTCTTCGGGCACAAAGCCTGTCCCTTAACTTCACAATGTCGGGCCTGTCCCGTCATTGCCGTCATGAGGGCTAGTTGTCGTAACGGTGGCCCAGCATCCCCGCAGAGGACCGAAGCCAGGCCGTTCTGAGAACACTCATGCTGGCCTGCATGTTTCCCACGTGTGCATATGCCATTGTTTCTTAGCGCAGTTTTCTGGAAAGCATAAGCGTGTGCAGGAATCCACTTCAGGAAGGGCTTGCCCCTAAACCCTGTGCGCACCCCAGTGCTTTTCTATCTGAGGGTGCTATGAAACTTACACCCAACCCATCTCCACTTCACCAAATTCCCACCGTCCCAGATGGGGAGCACTACCCTCGTCTATGATTTGAACCTAAATAGTTAACAGAAATCTTGTTCCGGAAAAGCTTGGATAGGCGCACAGAACCTGACACATTTTTTTCTTTTATTTAACAGCGAGTTCTTCTGATTTCAGGAAGCGATTCAGTTCACTCGTCCTATCTGTACACCACAATAGCGTCAAAAGCGGATTGCTGCCCCAATCATATTCACCCACTAAAAGATGGTGATAACAAAGCCCTTATGCGAAATGTATTGTTCGATAATAGTGTGACACCTTTGCAGGCCTCGTTCTTTTTTATTGAATACATACAACGCGTTATGTACTGATAATATGAAGGCAGGCAAGACACTCGGAAGTCAGGGACAATTGGTTTTTCAGGATGAAGAACCTTTCCCATCTTTTCTAGACGAGTATTCCACGTGTTTGCATCAACGAATGTGCAAATCTCTTGCTTCCTTACCTCGTAATTACAGCAATGCCAAAAAAAGTGTCGCTTATCAGTTACGAGCGTCTCAGTTGATCGAATGTCCAGATGTCAACATCACTGTGCGTATGGGAATATCGAAGTAATGCGAACAAACAAATACACATTTATTAGGAGAATGCAAAAAAAAAACTATTTGCACCATTTTAAGCAGTGGAAATGTTATAGGCTCAGTGTAATATTCGCACGTCATTTTTCCCGAACAGCACTGGACAAAACTAATAAATTGACTCCTCGTGCGGACCTATACTTTAATTCACCCTTCTTTATTGTAATCAGCCTGTTTCCCCGTCACCCAGAGTAGGGCAGCAAACCAAGTGCGGCATGATTAAGCTCCAAGGCTCTCGTCTTTTTACACAGCCCATAAATATATAATAATTTTATGACAAAGTGTTACCTGTGAGACTAGTAAGTACAATCTCGACGCTTCTGCGGACAATTATACATTACAGTCGATGGGCATCGAAAGCGTTTCATCGTACATTACAGGTAGGGCAGGGGGATAGCTTATATATAGTGACCTTGGCAACACTCTGCTAGGGACGAGGTGCAGGTTCGAACGCCGGCCACGGCCGCATTTCAATAGGGTGAAATGTAAACATACTCATGTAATAATATTAAGAAACACGCGATAACGTACTTGGGATTTCAATCATTCCACGTTCGACGGTTATAGCACTAGTTCTTGCAAGTGCTAATAACAAACTTTGCGACTGTGATTTGGCACAATGACCCGTGCATGGTTACAGCCAAGCATGGTGAAAGAGCTGTATATGCTATGCCGCAAATACATTTCTGCTGGAGTGGAAACGTTAGAGCAGTGATAACATTTAGTATGCGATGTGAACGGTCCATAAGTGGTTCCTTGGGCGCCAATAAATGCCGCGCGCTTCGTGGTCTGACCCAAGATACAGCGGCAGCAGACCTATTCACAGAGTCGAGTAACAAAGTACTCGTACTGCTACAAGTGTGCGAATGCTTTCCAACAGTATTTCTCTTCGTTCCTTTCTTATGCGACACATTGCGCTGTGCCTCTCGTCACTTTTCACATTCCAAAACGAAGTCCTGCAGCATGTTCCGACTAGCCCCCCACACAAGCTTTCCTGCTGCGGGTATAGTTTTAGGTGGTGCTAGTGAATTATTGGCGTTCTACATGACCAAAAGCAGTGACTGTTGGCTCAAACAGTACAGATACCCTGTCACCGTTTTTAATGTCTTGTACGAGTAAAAGAAAGGCGGCATAAATTGATTGATTGATATGTGGGATTTAACGTTCCAAAACCATTATATGATTATGAGAGACGCCGTAGTGGAGGGCTCCGGAAATTTCGACCACCTGGGGTTCTTCAACGTGCGCCCAAATCTGAGCACACGGGCCTACAACATTTCCGCCTCCATCAGAAACGCCGCCGCCGCAGCCGGGATTTGATCCCGCGACCTGCGGGTCAGCAGCCGAGTACCTTAGCCACTAGACCACCGCGGCGGGGCGAAAGGCGGCATAAAGCAATGACATTTATTTCTCAACTTACCAAGCAAGAAAAAGCCCACTAGTAATCTGAGAGCGATGATACACGTAGGAAAACGTTACATGCATTGTTTTATATGGCGCTTAATTGTCTCGTGGCAAAGATCTTTCATCATATATATGTAGGCACGCTTATCTTTTCTGCCTTGACGGTATGCCTATCCGTGCAGCCAAAAGCATATACGTATACTAACCTACTAAACACCAATTAATCACACTGGTCTACAGGACTATAGCTTCTCATTTATTCTCTGAAACCTTGAATCGTGTATACTCTGTCGCGGAATATTCAAGACGTGCATCGCATACTTTCGTATTCAAGCGCGCGCCAGCGCAAATAATAAGCATGCATAGGAAATGCTTTTTCCTTCTCGTTGCAGACGGGGCCGGTGATTCCGATGCCCGTTCCTTCAAGCTTCAACGACATAACGCAGAGCAAGGCGTTGCGCGACTTCGTCGGCTGGGTATGGTACGACGTGGAGTTCTTCTCGCCGGCTCGCTGGGATCAACATAGTGATGTCGGACGACTTCGCGTGTTTCTCCATTTCGGCGGCGTCCACTACGAGGCTAGGGTCTACCTGAACGGGGAGCCCGTAGTGTCTCATGTAGGCGGCCACCTGCCTTTTTCCGCAGAAGTGAGTACTTATACCTTATTGGGAGAACAACTGCTGTTTGTCGATGCAACTGCTTCTTCCGCTGCCCACTATATAGAACGGAGTAACATTCAATTGCCCTCACTACAATACGTTTGCCAGAAATCATCTTGTCCATAGTACTCATCACCTTCCTTGTCACATACTTTTGAGCCATAATCACTTAGTACTGTATATACACAGGGTTCTCCGCAGTGATGGTGCCTGCCCGACGGTGACAGGCGCTGCGGCCAATCTGTATATGCTAACGGACAAACAGTTTGCGCTAGTGTTCGCCAGGGATTCGTCTGTCACGTGGTGCTATGCGCAAACACACGGTGGTGCACCTAATGTGAGGCTGAGTACCTCTTCCATAAACAGGTGGTTAGATGCAGGCTCTAATTAAGACACCTAATTAGTAGGCGACCGCATGGGCGTCAATAGAGGGAAGAGAGGGGCCTTTCTCCCCATTAGCTAAACCAATGCCCCACTCCTCCCAAAGTCAAGGTGCAGAATGGGTTTGCCACCCCTAATAAGATATCCTGCGGACACCTATGAGCGACCATACCGAGAGAGTGGTTCATCTGCTGCAAAATAAAACATATGTTGTTGAATGTACAGAGGTGGGTTAGGTGGGGCCCTCAGTCTCGGACTCCACTGCCTTGCGTGACCATGTGAGCGCACAGGACCAGTTGCTGCTGTTCCTGCCGGCGTAAGCTGAGCAGTACTGACTCCCAAGAGGAAGGGGTGGGGACGGGGTGGGAAGGAACTCCTCGTGGGGCAGAGTATTCCTACGTGGAGTGGTACACTGTCGGTACACATCCGCAGAAGGGGCAGTAGAAGAGGTAAAGTCGTATGGAAGCGACTTAGCACGTAGAGGCACGGAAATTAATTGGTCAGAAGTTGCTGCCAAGTGACAGCATCTGCTCTGTTAAGTGAAGGATAAGGAGGATGAGGATATGCCTAACGGCTCTATCGGTAGTACTCCAGCGTGGCGTTGTAGTTGAGTAATTTTGTCGATGTGTCGTCCGGGTTGGACAGTTCCTCCAATGGTGTCCGGATGGTCAGAACTCGGGCGACCGCATGAAGGCATTTATTACCATGGAGAGGGTATTTTCAGGAGTCCAGGCGATGCGCACCACACGTATTACGGAGAGCGAGACAGAAGAAGGGATACTGTGTGTATGTGCAGCCAAAGTTTTTGAATGAAGGCACGGCAAGCAGCTTGTAAGTTCGTCACTGACATGCATTGTTGCCAAATGTAGCAGAACAAATTAGCTAGATGGCCGCGTGAAAGCAGCTAAAGAAATCTAGGAAAGAGCTAAGAAAGGTACCTTAATTATTTTAGGGCATTTTTAGTTTTATTCTAGGAGTGCAACGAATGTCCAAGCAGTTGTGTTATCTCACGGTTTAAGTAAAAATAAGAAGTGAAATTGTCCTGCATGCAACTACACATATAGACAAAAAGAAAAGCATTCCCAGTGGATTCTGATAATTTAGGAGAGGTGTGGTTTTTAGAAAAGCATCCACGCTTCCACGCTTCCACGCTCATCGAAGACGAGCTGCGTATGCACCGTGCTCTGTAAACATCTGGGGTGCGCGAATATTAGAAAATTTTGCATAAGGAATAAAATATGGCATAATTGAACAACCGAATATTTTTCCGGATCACTTATGATTAATGACTACTAAGGGGAAAACCCCAATAGGCCAACGCGTTGCAGCAGCAAGAAAAATTTTTGTTGTTTTAATTCGCAAGTTACCAAGATACCTGCAAGTCAAAGTGCATGCAAATGAAGCAGCACCAAAGTCAACCTTTTACGGAAATATCGAAACTCTGCTCATCACACAAGAAAGATTTTTTTCCTTGAAACTGCTGTGTGACAAAAGCGAATGTATCTTCAATCCGCTACCATCTTTATGATATTCATATCCTTCATTCGTGAAATAATATTTACCTTGCACGTCTTAGCTGGCAACAGTTGTGAAAACTGGGTATACGCACACGAAAAAAAAAAATGGAATACGCACTACCAGAATATTGAAGAAACGCAGGAAGGACTTGCCCTCGAAATCCGTGTAAGGTCCGTGCGAGTGTTAAGCTGTCGTGTTAAACGGCCTTCAGTATTGCGGTGCATTCGACAATATCTGCCATTACAAAGCATCATCCTTTTCCGCTTAATGCGATGCGGTTGTGCCGATTTCTGACTTCAATCACTTGGCAAGCTTGTGTAATATGCATACTTTGTGTGCGACATTTTCATGCAAATTGAAAGGAAATGTAGCAGATGAAAAATCGTCCGTTCCATCGGTGGAAAGGGTGATTTTTTTGTCTCCTATGATTCCCTAAATGAATTGCCTGAAGAAGTATTACTCCTAAATTTGATAAGACAACTGCTAGAATTACACTACTGCTAGAACGAAGGCGTCTGTGTCGTTTGTCGCGGCTAAACACATATCTGGCTTCTCTGCATCACTGTATCATTGCATCACTGTAGAGGACTGCATCACTGTAGAGGACTTGTTTTTCTGTGGTACCATCACCAAATAGGCGTGTCATAGGCTGAACTCCGGCCCGCCGACGACCGTCGTGGGGGGATGCAGATGAGTGCTGTATTGCATCTGGATGAGGGGAAAACATTAGGTGAGGGCAAGTGCTGGTGTGACTTTAGGGGGGCAAGTGCTATTTACCCCTGCCGGCGCCCCTGCCTTGGGGCAAACGTTGCTGAGATTTAATCCACCGTTGAGTAGGATTGCAATCTTGTAGCCCTCGGCATGTAGCGGTGAGAGTCTAGGTAAGCGCGTTTTGGTCTTCTTGAGCACGCGGCCTTTGTTCCGGCTCTGGGGTGCTGGGCAGCTTCGGTGCCGTATGCCAGAGTTTGTTCGCTCACTTGGTAATTTACTTATTTTCAATACTGCAAGGGCAGTTACAGAGTGGCAAAGTACAACATAAAAAGCAAATATACGAACGTCATGTATACAAAGATCAGAATGCAAATTTAGCAACAGGAAGGCATGCACCACGTATAAGTAACTACAAATGAGCTGTAAAGAAACGACCTTGGGCAATTAGACATAACAATAAAATTTAGATATTAGGCACCGAGTGTCTGTAGCTTTTCTTTGAAACTTGCGAGCAAATTCGTACAGTGAAATAAATCTGAGCTTAGCTTGTTTTATTCTAAATGCTTTGGACCAGGTGTTACGCATTAAGGTCCGGGAAGCAGGCTTTAGGAGTTGTGTCAGAGACCCTGGAAATGAAGAGGACACAATTGACAGGGCACACGAGAATCTAGAAACGAGACATAAACAAAAGCACAGCAAGAAAATGAACACGCGAGACACCTTTATGTTAAAGGGAATGCCGCGCTCACGCCTTGAATTAACGGTCGGTGCTGCGTTGCGGGTCTTGAACGAGAAAGGCCAGGCGAATTGCCACATGTTTTGCGTCCACTGGGCACCGAGGCGGAAGACACAAAGTCCTTCGGCCATTGATATCCGAGGAGATACTTTCAGACAATATTCCCGAACGTCCGGCCACTTTTTCGCTCGGGCTTCTATCACCGTCTGTTTGGCCAACGTGGCCCGTTCTGTTTTCTTTGGCACGCGCCATGTGAACACGTGCAGAGAGGTATCTTCGAAACGGGTGAACCACTCAGTGCCCGTGCATGTGCGTTTTCGCCACCACTTCGTCGTCTTCTCTGCGGCATTAAGGCACCTCATCGCACTAGCAAATAATGTTTGCAGGCATCAACTCTAGGCACATAAGGTATAACAACGTATGTGTGAGAAGGCCGCGGTCACACTCTGCCTGGAGGTCACAAGTAGAGCCCGGAATTATCGTTATACAACTGATAAAAGACAGTGGCTGGGCGTAATGCTCCTCCTCTTCCACTTCCTCGAATGTCGCGGCGTCTTGGATAGCCTACGTATCCATCATGTAGTCCGTGCAGCGAGTGGGTGATACGGCCGTCGGCTGCGACGCTCGCAGAGAAGCTCAGATTGAGGGGGTTGCTACACCACCCAGACGACCATCTAGCCAAAATGGAACCATCGAGCCAGCGGTTTGACCGTGGTCTCACCTAGCGTTACCAACCGTCCCGGATTTGGCGGGATTGTCCCGAATTTTCATGCAGCGTCCTAAGTCCCATGCGGGCCCTGTCAGGACAGCTATGAATTTCAAAAAGGTTGAGAGCTGGGCTTTAGTTGGTGACCGATACCGTAAGGTTAAAGGCCAACTACCACGAAATTCGGCACTCCACAAAAAGTCAATATATAAGTACTCTCATTGATTGATTTGATGGGTTTAAACGTCCCAAAACCACCATATGAATATCAGAGACGCCGTAGTAGAGGGATCTTGAAATTTCGACCACCTGGGTTTCTTTAACCATATATAGGTACTATAGGTAGAGGTAGTGCTGCCTGCCAAATGTCACCTTCGGAACACACGCGCGTATAACTTAGAAAAAATATTGCCAGATCCCACCTGCAGTGTCGCGCGTCGTGGCGACCGCAGTCTGCGGGTAGCGGGGCCGGTCGTCGTCGCTCCGTCGAGCCAAGGGCTAGGGGAGAGCTTTGAGCAAACTTAATGGATTTATTTACACCTTTACAGTGAGTTGTCGAGATGAAGACAGAAGAGAAGAGAGAGTTGGGCGAGGCGCTGCACGCCCTTTTGTTGACCCCCGTTCCCTAGGTCCCTAGGTTGGGGATCACTACACAAAAATGCGGACCAATGGTGATGTGGAAGTTCCTCTCAGTGAAGTACCGCCCGTCATGTATGTTCATAGAGGCACAACACTGGCTTCCACATACACACACACCCTTGCCACTAGTCGCAGCGCTGCCGTAGAACAGGGAGGGGGAGAGCGGAAGACGCACGGGCGCCTCGACCCCTTTGGTGCCAGCCTCGCGCTGCATTCCCGCGGGAAGATTTTAGCGCGCCCTTTCGAGAGGTGCCAGGTTCGTGGAATCCTCTGGGGAGAGCCCTTTGACCAGCACCGTCGTCGTCTGCTGGTCAACGCAACCACGTGATGCGTGGCCCAGGCGGGAGATAGAGCGGCGGCTCCATAACTCTCTTTTGCAACACGCCACTGTGCTAATTGTGCCTACATTTGACGATGTCGAAACGTACTCTTGAGGCACGAAGGAGGTTTCCAGCATCTTACTGGGCCCATTAGGGCTGCTGGCACTCTGCTCATCCACGCAAGGAGCGTCTTTCGACATCGTCCCTACCTCCAGACCGGCCAAGGCCTCGTTCTCAGCATAATCTACCCTGATGGGTTCTGGAATACGCGGACCCTTCTCTGGCACGATCTCTGTTTCTAGGGCTTCATGACGCGCCTCAACTTCCGGCGCTTTGTGACGCACCTTCCTTTCAGACTCTGGTCTGATTCTTTCTTTCTTTTTGCTAACAGAAGTTCTGAATTTTCTGATTAGCTCTGCTTTAACAACTTCGTAGTTGTTCGCGTGCTGCTCACTGAGTCGCGCAACAACATCCGCTGCCTCGCAGGGCAGAACCGTGCGTAGCTTCTGAGACCAGGTGTCTCGCTCACACTCCAGTTGACTACACTTTCGTTCAAAGAGTCTAAGATACAGGCCCATATCCCATGATACCTCATATGGCTGCATTTACCTAGACATCTCCAACCCTGCCTCATTGTCGAGAATAAGTGTTCCTCGCTGGGGTCCCAACCTCTTACTCAACGCGTTATCTTGTTCGAAAAACTCCAACTTGAGGTCTAGCTTTTCGTCTTCTCCCTTTCCTTCCATCTGAGCTGCTCTTAACTTTCTGTCAATGTTGATATCCCATTATTCACTTAGTTCCTCATCATCAGCCCCCAAATCATTAATCGCCTGAATGATTAAGGGTTTTCGTGCCAAACCCTTTGTATCTATCTCCAATTCCTCACACAACAGCAACAAGTCTGACTTCTGCAGCTCCCGTAAGTCCATGATCGTACTGAGTGCTCGCTCCTTCCTAAAATAACTTCCCGAAACGGCGAAACTGAGTCTTTCGATCGGCAAAGTTAATTACCACTTCCAAAATTTACCCTCTTTTAGAACCTGGTTCACTCAAAGGAAAAGCCAAGCACTCACCCATACGTGATCCATGTCTCGAGACAGCTGCTTCCCTTGGGCCGAATGTTGTTGTCACTTGTAGCTTCGTATCCGACCACTGCCAACCAGTTGTTGTGGATCCCACGCCTTTATCAGACTGGTGTGGATCCCACTGCTGCCATCAGTTATCGTGATCCCTGTGCTGATCACCAGTTGTTGCGGATCCCAGCACTGAGAACCCGTTGTTGCGGATCGGGGTCTACCCGGTCTTTTGTGGTAGCGTGGTGTAGCTTCGGGTGGAGGAAACGAACGCTCACAAGATGGGGATACAAAAAAACAAACAGGTTTATGGCACTATTTACACTTATTTACAGCATAGAGAGGTTGAGAGTTTCACAAACCACGAGCGTGGTGGTTGAAGCGTTACATGGTTCAGAGCGACGTCCCGTACTCTGCAGCATCGCTATAAGCCCTGTCGGGCTCCTCCTCCTTGAGTGGAACACCAATTACACACACAACAGACGAGGGGTACGAGCATGCACGGCCCACGTGAACATCCAATATTGAGTCGTGATCACTGCACTGCAAGGTGGCGCCGTAGGGGCTCTTCCTCGTCGTGTGTGTGCCGCTGGTCGAGGGGTCCCAAGCTCCTGACAGCATACATCAAACGGTCCGCCGATCTGTCCGCTCAATTAGCAGGGCAATTTGTGGCGGCGGCCGCGGCTTCTTCCAAGGAAGATGCTGTCTTTGTTGTCCTCTCTGGAACGCCTTACGGCGTCGTGGCGACACGACGTCTCATCCTCCGGCTAACAGGGACAATACCTGGCGGGCATAGAGAAGGTGATTCTTAAGAAAGAAAGGAAGAGAGAAGTGAGCCCCGTAACTGTCTGCTTCAGTGAGCGACACCTCAACAGTAGCTCACAATGGATGTGGGTGAGGAGGGATAAAAGAGGTAGGAGTAAAGGTGTAGAAAAGAGGAAGGGACGTGAGGTGGTAAGCCAGAAGGAGCGACAACAAACTGAGGGGATAGGAGAGATAGGAAAGATGTAAACACGGTCACAGGAGTCCGAGCACGGGGCACCACTTGCGAGAGCTCTTATCGGCTCAGTAGATGGCGTAGAGCAAGTCCAGTCGGTCAGAGCTACACTTTCGTCGAAGGTCGTCGGCGTCAGGAAATGACGTAGGGCGAGCCCAGTCGGCCAGAGCTACGCTGACGCCGGAGATCGCGAGGGCACAACTGGTCGGCACGGAATCAGCAAGCGAGTCCAATAGGCAGGCGGCCAGTCGGCTACTTGTTTGAGGATTAAAAGAGCGCCGCTCCCCCGTCAGCTCTGAACGCTGGTTCCGAGAGAACTGGGGTTCCAGGCGTGGGAGCGGTGCCCGGCTACGCTTCGCAGCGACAGCATGGCGCCTACTGACCACGGTCATAACAGCGCCAAGAAAAACTGATATTGACGCGAGCATTTATTACCGTGACAATAATTTCCAATGTTCCTTCTGAACCCGAACACCGCAAAGCATGGAATAAACAGGGTTGCAGGAAGGACTGTCCGCTCAGCACAAAGGAATCAGTCTGCAGCAAACAATTCACAAATTAGATGATTTATCGTGAATGTAAATAATTTTCGCTGCACGACCATTTGTTTTATGTTTACGCAACACAGTGATTCGTGCAATAAATTGGGTTTTTTTCTGTTACAGACGCAGTGAGCTTCTTTTTACTGCATTGCGTTGTGTATTCACTGCCTTTTGTGAGCATGTTTCTAGTGCCATTCCTAAAAATGTCCGCTGATTGTTCAATGCAAAAAAAAAATAAACTACTGTAATACTCTTTCCGTGCACGGTATCAGAAAAGAGGGTGAAATCAGCGAGAAGATATGTGCATGGTCCCCCGTGAACTGGTCTCCCATAGGATAATCACACGGTCGTGAACATTTCGCTGTATAGTTATCATCAGAGCCACGAAAATAGAATTTGGCGCAATACCGGACGGCATCTATGTAATGCACGCCAACAAATTGGTCAAGGTATCTAAGTGGTTGCTTCTCCATTTACGAGCAGTCACGTGGTCTTATTCAAGTTCTACTTCAGTGCCCGGCATCAAAAGAATGTGCGTCCCCCCACGCCGTCCGCACGCTTCACAGATCCAGCTAGCCAATACCAGTGCCCCATCTACCATCCACGAGTACACGAAAACTAGCGAATTCAAATAAAGAACCACTTGATAAAAAATTTTGGAAAGCATGTCAGTTATGTGCGCATCTGTTACGCCCCAAGCAGTATTAAGTTCGCAGGACGTGCGAGAACCACTTATGGGCGGCATGCGCTCCATAGAGAGGCATGTAGACCATGCTCTCCACGTGACTCACGCCCCGTCATGCTTGCAGACAGCAGTAATCTACTTTCACTCTTCGGCACGAACAGCGCTCCTGTGCCATTTAACACAACATCAAGTTGCGTCTACTCGCCTATAGGCAGGCTGCCAGCAGCGGTCTCACGGACGCGCGTCACTGTTATTTTGTCTGGTCGGTCGCGTCTCGCGAGTGTGCCCACCTAAAGTGTTTGTATCTTACACCGTGACCGTGGGTACGACGCTGCGAACGACGTAACTGATAACACAGCCAATGGAGACCACTCATGGTGCCTCTGCTGGATGGTTTCTATATACAGCTTTTGCTGCAATGTCACGCTTGTGTATGTAAGAAGTGAAGGCTATATTTTAGATGCCCACGCAGAAAATCAGTTGTTGCACAATATTTACTGGCGACATGGATCTGTAGCCAGCAAAGTTATTCCCGATTACAGCAGTGAGAAGGGGCCCAAGAAGTAGCTATTCTGCTTCAGTTAAACATCTCTAGTTGCTATCTTTATTTATTGCCATGACAACATTCTTCAGATTACGGAAGTTCTCCGCTACGGGCGCAAGAACCTGCTGACTGTTGCGGTGAACAACACGCTTACCGCGGCAACCATTCCCCAGGGTACACTGTTCCGACCGAATGACACCATTAGGTAAGTGTTCGCTCTTTTCTTTACGTGTCACTTGAGCCTGTACATTCTGACATTCTCGTTACTGGTGTCAGGTCTCAATGTCAGGGTGAGAAGGTCCTCAAAAAAGAAGGAGAGGTGTGCGCATCTAGTTCTGATGTCCGGAACACGGAGGTCGTAGTTATACATTAGCCGAAAGTTTCATTTATATACTTGAGCTAACGTGATGTTATGTTCACACAAACTATAGAACAAACGTAACTTGAACATGTCAAATAAAATAAGAAAGCAGACTCGAAGCAATCAATAATCCTTACGTGCTCAAGGCTTTGCGTGCTTCGAAAAAACGAGTCGGTGACTTCGCGTTCACTCTGTTACTCATGAGTAAGGAGAAGACGAAGTGGAAGGAGAAGACAGGCACGAGCGCTGCGGGGCGTAGCACACTGCTCGAAGCGCGTGAAAGAGCCGCAATGCAAGCGGAATGCGCGATGACCTTGCTGCCGCCTGCTTCCTGTTCCGGTCATGACGAACACGCGTCGACTTTTTACACATATACTCATCTCTATCGCCCCTAGCCAATTTCATTTCCCTTTCCCCTACAAGGCACTACTCAATGTCGCCCAAGAGGCTGACAGAAATTAGGTGCCTTCTTCACTCCTTTCAAAAATCACTCATGGAACTACATGAACTCATGAACGCATAGCTCAGTGGGGTCGTGCGGGGCCCTAGGACGTATGTGCCCGAATATTTTGGTTAAATTAAGTTTTATCACCACCACCACTCAACAATAACATTGCTTGCGTGGCTTAGGAAGGAGGCGGTCACATCAGTAGCTACGTTCTACCGATGGACGCATGTTCGACTTTGGAGGCCGCGACGCTGGCACTCCGTGGCATGGCCGTTGAACTCGGCGACGCTCAGATGATGCTCCTCGGAGGTGCTGCAGCATTTTTCGGCTGGTCCGGACGCACCCACCAAAGCCCCCCTTCAAACGTCGGCCCGCAGTAATCCCGAGGACACCTCGTTGTCATTTTCGAAAGGGCTGGTCACGGACGATGACAAAATGCCACGTCACCGACTGCAATCTGGGCCAGGCTTACGGCAGCTCAGCGTGACCGTTATGCCACAGAGGGACACTTTCAGCAGGATTGTCGGCAACAACGGTGTCAGACAAAGCAGTTTAGACGTAAAGATAAACGGAGCCAAAGAAGACGCTTTCATTGAGGCTACGATCAGACGACGATACAAAGTCTGTTCCAATACTCACCGTAGACGGCTAAATAGACAGCTGAATGGACGGCGGCCATCTTAAGTCCCATTCCTATTTTCGCGTAGCCGGCAAAGTAGACAGCTCCGAGAAGACCGCATCATAGACAAATACGATGCAGGCTATTTTGCTGTCTGAACAAGATGGCGACTCGGCGAATCGCTCAGATAGACCGAATCCATAGCCTCCGAATCTCACCAGAATGGTCGTCTGCACACAAGCAGACGCTTCTCCAGAAGCTCAATGTGAGTAGCGTTTATTTTTTCAGACTTTAACACAGATTGAACCAGAAAATACAACTTTTACATTTGTTCACCTTGGATTTCTCTTCTCAACGCGAGGTGGCACCTTTTCGCGTAAAAGCCGGACAGTGTGGGCTCGCTGCTGTCTACTAAGCACTCTGTGTAGACTGTCTACGTGCTGTCTAAGAATTGGAACACAGCCCCAGTGTACTAGAAGGGGACAGTGGAATGAACGAGGCGGCCGCACCGCATCTCGGCCGATTCTCCGGCGGATCACAGAAGCGGCGGCGCTGTAGTCCCATGGTACTGATGATCTCAGGAGCGTCTGCTTTGAGAGCGCGCGCGCCGTAGCCTGCGAAAGTGTGTAATTGCTCGTTTTTAGCGCGTTTAATGCATTTCTGAGCCTTTATCAGTGGACACACCTGCTATGCTCCATGGTGCACGAGGGAATATGCAGGCGCGCCGAAATTGCGTCGGTACGTTCACCGTTTCAAGAGCCTGCCGACACACAACAACAACAAAAAAAAATGTGAATCGGAATTTGCACGGATCCGCCTAGCTTCTCACTCAAGCAGCGCTTTAAGCTGCGTTACATCATAAGTGGCTACTGGCCAACTACTAAGAGAGGAGAAGTATCCAAACCGCAATTAAATCATAGGCTCATTTTGCCGGCTGTCTCTACGATATCCAGAGGACCAGAGCAGAGGTTTCCTCACATGAGCCTACATGCGCTCAATCGTTCCACGAGAAACCCAAGTATAAGTAACGTTGTCACACCATTTATATCGGTGACGACTCAATTTTATCATGCCACTTTTACAGAAGATAATAATATTGCTTTCTGACAGGCTTATTGCATATTAAAAACATTAAAACACACAAACAATAAAAAGGGCCAATTGTATGTATCGCCCGTCTATTAATCTGCGTAAGTTTATTGTAACCAGTTCTCATTTTGTATCGGCAGCCTAAATTGTGCTGCTTTTCAAATAATATATTGGCGTAGCGACATTGCAAGCGAGCAAATTTATGACGATCTTTTGTATAATAAGCGTAGTTCTATTATAGTCAAAAGTGAAGTGTAGGCAGGCTGTGGAGCATCTTGTTTTGAAAAATTAGCTAATATATATATATATATATATATATATATATATATATATATTGTAACGAGGGCAGTGGACATGGAGTAACGAAAGAAGAAGACGCGCTGTGATCGCAGGCTTGCATTATTCAGTTAGCTCTTGCGCTAAATAAATCTCTCGTTCGCCGAGTCAACTCCTGCTTGTTCAACACCCCGTTTCAAGTGGTGGAGATGCGGGGTATATCTGGTCCTCACCCTGGAACTTCACAGCCGTACACTCCAACGAACCTTCTGCAATGACTGATCCGGGGCCCTCTCAGGCCGCCGCTCCAGATCTCGCACCCGTACCTGCCTTCTGCGCTGGCGCTCTCTGGCAGCGCGACCCCCCCCCCCCCCACACACACATATTTGGCGGCACAGAGGACGAAGATGCGGACAACTGGATTGTCGAGTATGAACTGGTGACCGCGCACAGTAAGTGAACAGCAGCCGATAAGTTCACAAATGTGAGTTTTTACCTGACCGACGTGGCGAAACTAATGGTGCAGGAATAATCAAAGTGATTTCAGTACCTGGTCGGAATTGGCAAAAACCCTTTCGAAGTCTTTGGCCGTCTTGCTGTCTGCCACATTCATGCTGAACAGCGCTTACGTGGCAAAGTGTAGAGAACAGATGAGAGTTTCACTAGCTACATCGAAGATGTGCTCTTCCTCTGCAAGCTCGTAAACTAGACTCTGGACAAGGCAGGCGAGATAAAGAACATTATAAAAGGAATCGACGACGGTGCTTTCTAAATGATTGCTGCGAAGAGTCCCCAGACGGTCGCCGAGGTGATTCAGCTCTGCCAAAGCTATGATGAGCTGCGTAGGCAGCGCGCTTCCACACGTTGCGCTGCTCAAGACACCTACGAACCTCTCATCCCTCGACTATTGCCATGACACCACTGACCACTCTGCGTTGATACCACTCATAAAGCAATTCACACGCGAGGAGGTCGCCCGGCAGCTATCTATATTTACTAGAACTACCGAGCCGATGACACCCTTGCCGCCTTCGCTTCGCAAGGTCATTGAATCGCAAGTTGCCGAAGCATTGCCGCCAGTTCAGGCTTCACGATCTGCTACTGCACCACTAACATATGCAGCCGCTGTTGCTCGGCCGCGTGCTCTATCGTCTCCGGCTATCTACGAAGCAGCTCGCCACGTTTATTCGTCGACGCCACCTGCCCACCCATGGACCGTCCCGTCTCCGGCTGTATACGAGACAACTCGGAACGTTTATATGATGCCGCTGCCTGCACAACCGTTTAGGCTACCTTATTCAGCGAACAGTGCCGCTACAGTCAGCCTACGGTGCTCTCCGGATAATCGGCCAATATGTTTTTCATGTGGCATCCCAGGCCACATAGCTCGTCACTGCCGCCGTCGCAGCTTCCTTTCTCATGACATCGCAGGGGTCTCACACCAAATGCACACTCAGCCGCGATATCCCGTTCCTGCCAATCCACCTCTAGACGTACGTTACGGTCGCCGACCATCTGGCTCAAGCCATTCGCCTTCTCCTCATCACCGATCTATTTCTCAAATGTTACGTCGCAACAGCCCACCGCGAGGGGAAAACTGAAGGGCGCAGTTCAGAGGCAAGAACTGCGTTGGCAGCGAAAATTTCAAGACCTAACTGCCTGTCCACCGAACTAGATCGAAGTCTACTATTGATTGCATTAAGTTGCACAGATTTGTTGACACTGGAGCTGCCGTATCTGTAGTTAGCGAGAAGCTGTGCTGAAACTGGAAGAAAGTGACCAGACAACTTACCGACCTATCTTTGCAGACAGCTACATCCCTTTATGTTCAGCCTTCAGCTTTGTGCACTGCACGAGTCGTCATTCAAGGTGCGATGTATGTCGTCGCCTTTGTAGTTTTATTCCGTTTTTCGCATGACGTTATCCTTGGGTGGGGCTTTCTTTCATCAAATTCTGCTTTGGTCGAGTGTGCTAGTTCCGAACTCGCGTTATCTGTGCCATGCTATGATCCCGATGACGGCGCTTCATGTACAGTGTTTGCTGCTTTCGGACGTTGACATTGCACCTTTCTCAGCTGTTGTTGTCCTGGTGTCGCGCGCCTCTCCTCCAAAATCGCCTGTGTTGTTTATGCCATCGGTCACATCTGCGTGCCGTCGAAATTTCATGCTTCCGTTTGCCATCATCGTTTTTCGCAACGGTCACGCTGCCATTTATGTGTGCGATCCCTCGAACTGTCCGTCATCCCTACTACGTGGAGAATGCCTGGGAAGCTACCAACCTTACGAGTGCATTCTTCCAGCTACTATACCCGATTCTACGGTTTCGCACCCAATTTGTGCTGTCACTCCTACCAACGCACCTTATGATGTTCTGGACGTCTTCTCGGATGCCATCGACTCTGAGCTCGCACCA